AGGGCAGTGTCAGTGGCCCTCATATGTGGGATCCGAACCGGGGCCCTCTGGCATCCCAAGCCAGCTCTTAACCATCGCGCCACTCGGCCGGCCCCCATTCTGCTTTCTGACTCTGAATTTTGACTACTCTAGGTCCATCATATATAAAAAAAAAATCATATAGTATGTGTCCTTTTGTGTCTGGGCTATTTCATTTAATATCACATCTTTGAGGTTCATCCATGTTGTAGTATATGTCAGAATTTTTTTCTTTTTCAAGGCTGCCTGTGTTGCTTTTGAGTCCTGCTTTATGTCTTGTGTGAATAATCCTGGCTTCTACCCTTAAAACCAATGTACTTTCAAAGTATGTAAATCTTGAGGCTGGTGTCTTCTGCATCCTTTACTCTTCCCCCATCGTGAGTGGGCCCCCAGGTAGCATCGAGTGCTTCCCCATGACACTCGTGGGCCCCTTCACTGCACTCCTGGGTTTACAGCCTTCTTCTAGGTTAATAAGAAATCCTTCTGCCATTGGCCAAGTCAATATTTTATTTAAAAACACAAACACACATACATACACGCACATGTACACACAATGTCACGAAGGCAGAGCCGGGAAAGGAGACGGAGGTCTCCTCTTTGGGGACAGGCTGACCACACAGTACTTCTACAGGCACGCCTCATTTTAAGAAAGGGGTAACTTCAAGACCAGATTTCCAAGCTACATAAATTAGGAGATGGCTTTGTTTTTATAGGTAGACTTAAGGCAGCTTCACTCCCTGGAGGAATGTGAAGTAGAGGCAGATTTAGGCAGGAGTATTCAGAAACCCCTCCACTCTGTTAAGTGGGGTCACCAGTCCCTGAGGCAGTTCTAAAAGCAGGAGGGAGAGACCAGATTTCCAAGAAGGTTGATTTTCTTTCCCAGATGGGGAATTCTTCAAGGATGACCGGAGAGACAGGTTCCGAGCAGCTCAGGAGCCCAGTAGGAAGGTGAAGGTCCCCTTCTGTACCTACCAGCCCAGTGGGGCTTTGGCACAGGAATACAGGTTCAGAAGTCTTTCCTAAGGTCACTGGCCCACTGACCCTCCTGTCTGCTAGGCCATGCGTCCTGCAGGGCCTCCTGCGGGCCCGGAGGCTGTGAGGTCCTCAGACGGCTGCATCTTGGGAAGGAAATGGCAAAGTCAGGACGGCTGGCCAGGGCAGGGCCCACTCAGAAGTTGCAGACTATACGGCTGACCCACCATCTGCTCAGTGCATTGCCTCCTCCACCCAGCACCAACTTTCATTGGGATTATTTTATTCTTTTTAAATACATTTCTAAAATAGAAAACCTATTAAATAGCACAGAGGGGATTCCCATCCGGACCTCTCCCCACCCAGGGTTTCCCCCTCAGAGGTATCTGAACTCCTTTAGCTGTTTCTTCTGGCTCTTCCTCCACAATTTTAAGTAATATATTTATGCCAATATGTATAGATTTATTACCTGTAGATATTACCTATTCACTTTATTTTTACATTCTTTTTTCATCATTCTTTTTTCCCCCATGAACAGCTTTACTGAGATATAATTCATGTACCATAGAATTCATTCATTTAAAGTGTACAATTCTATGGTGTTCACTATAGTCATGGAATTGTGTAACCATCACCACAATTTTAGAACATTTTTATCGCTTCAAAAAGAAACTGCATATCCATTAGCAGTTATACCTTACCCCACCTCCCCCCAGCCCTAAGCAACCACTAATCTACTTTCTGTCTCTATGGATTGGTCTATTCTGGACATTTCACATAAATGGAATCCTACAGTATGTGGTCTTTTGTGACTGGCTCCCATCCTGTCAACTTCTTGCCAGCGGCTACTAGAAGGAAATCGAAGCTCTGCTGCGATGGCCCCTCTGCAGGGCAACTCAGACAACAAAACGTAAATACTTTGATATTTTTAATGTAATTTTTTTTAAGAAAGAAAAAGAACAAAGGAAGGAAGCCATAGACCAAAGAAAGAAGTGAATTAATCAAAATAGCTGGTCCACGCCTGCAGCAATTCTACTGCTAGGAATTTATTCTAAAGATAAAAAACATTAGGTATATGTATAGGGATATATTTAGAAAGATGCTCATTATAGCACTTTTTAGTAGCAAAAATTTTAAAAACAAACATAATACCCCCAGACAGGAGACAAAGAAACTATGGCACAGACGTGCAGTGGGGCCAATCCAACACCATGGAGCCATTAGGAATGACAGAAAAGGACACCTCATGACATGGGGGAAATGTCTGGTAGACCGTTAAACAGGAGAAAAAAAGCAGGTAAGAAAATAACACATGAAGTCTGATCTTTTTAACAAAAGCAACATGTGTATCTATATATCTCTACCTGTATTTCTATAAATCTCTATATATTCAGAGAAAGGAAATACTGGAAGGATAGCCACCCAGCAGGGGCTATTTCTGGATAGGGTGATAGATGGTTTTTATTAAGAACATTTTTTTTTCTTATTTGTATTGGGTTGTCGGAAAAGTCATGATGCATTTTTGCGATGAAAACCAGAAAAAAATACGCCATGACTTTTCCGACAACCCAAATTTTCTTTCTTTATATTTTTTGTTTGTTTGTTTGTTTTTTTAGCTGAGCCATCCAAATCTCAATTTTTTTTTTTTTTTTTAGCTGAGCCATCCTGCCACCTGCTGGCAGCTCAGCTCTTTCTTTATATTTTTCATTAAAGTTTATTGGGGCGACAATTTCATATTTTGTTTTTGACATTGGGAAACATGGGAAGAAAATGCTTCCTCATCAGAGGCTGAAATGTGAGGGCGTCCCTGGGCGTGGTGGAGACAGGGGCAGGAGCAGAGGTGCTTGGGCTACGGCTTTCCTCCGGGGCCCCTGAGCTCCCGCAGCCCCCCTACAGCAGGTTGTTCCCTAGTGTGGAACCCCAGAACGTCTGGCTGTCCTCCTGTTCCCAAGCCTAGGGAACTTCCAGAGATCCTCTGTGTTCAGACGACCGGAACTCACCTGTTGACTGGGTCACACACGAGATCTTGTAGGACAGCCATACGCTCGCCAGGCAGAGGAAGGTGGCCACGAAACCAAAGATCTGCACAGGAGACAAAGGAGAGGAAGTTCCCAGGCCGAGGTCAGCCGTTCAGGCAGTCTTTCTGTTTCTCACCTCTGTGCCTGTTCCCTGTAACGACTGTGGTAAGAAGGGAACTTGGGGAATTATATGCCTCAACCACCTCATCCAAACTAGGTACAGAGATGAGGCCCTGACCCCGGGTCCCCCAGCGGGGTCCCAGGTCTCTGGGTCTCAACTCCTCGGTTCTTCTCACTCTAGGCAACTTCAGTGCCCATGTTTGGGTTTATATTTATAACCGAGCTGGGGCCAAGCCACTGTACTTTAATTATCTGGGCTAATAAAAAAGAAAAAGGTAGAATTGTACATTTTAATTGGGGTCTTAAAAATTTTAATGTTCAAATGGATTTTATGGATGTGGTAGCATTGTTTGCATTTCATTCATAATGGTTTTCTGTTTGGCTTCCTAGATGTGTAAGAGCCAGAAGCTGAGGCCTTGCTATTTAGTCTTACATATGCACATATTTAAATAATATTAGACTAAAATAAGTTCAGGCAGTGCTCATGTCCTTTCTGAGGGTCCTTCCGGTGCTCAAGTGTGGGGACCTCGCCCTGTTCAACCTCTCATCTATAGATGGGGGAACAGGCAGGAGGAGAGGAAGCGGGCCTTGTGTCTGGAACGTCAAAGCCTGAAGCCATTTTTTTCATTTGTGAACAGTACTGGCAGCTGCAGCCAAAATTTAGTGAGCACTTAATATATACCTGCCAGTCTTCTAAGCCCTCCGGTGTGTTGATTCCATTAATCCTCACAACTCTGCCAGGGGGTTGCTGCTGTTACCCCACCTCCCCTCCCCATTTTACCACTGAAGAAAACAGGAGGGACGGGAGCCCCACTGTTTGCCAAGGGCCACGGAGCAGCAAGGGCCAGACCTGGGATGGGAGCCCAGGAGTCTGGTTCCAGAGTCCACGCTCTGCTCTACTTGTTGCTCAGGTGTTCTCAGACTTGCAAAAGGCCTCAGGCTCATTACGTTGCCACTAAGTGCCTGGCCAAAGCCACTGCTGACTTCGGCCCAGGAGCAGCCTGACAAAGGGCAGGATTTTCAAGGTTTTTCAAGGTTCGGTTTTCTTTTCAAGCCTGGCTGCTGGTTGGTATAAGCAGCTGCCCCCACCATTCCACACCCACCTCGCCCTCCCCCTCCCCCAGGTCCATCTCCTTGGCCCCTTTTGTACTGATTGTCTGCACCACATAATTAGCCTATTAGAGCCTGTTCTGACCTCATTGTCTGTTCGGCACAATTAGCACATTATATACTATCATGGTCTCCAACTGTCTGCACTGCATAATTGAACAGTTTATTTTATCACTACATAATACTATCCTGGACAACAATGCCTTGTTTGCTAATTGTTTCATGTGCCTTGGCCCTGACTCCTAAGCTAAACCACCATTTTCTCATAAGCAAGGGTCATATCTTTTTATTTCCTCTGGCTCCCTAGGCCCAAAGATGGTGTATGATAAATGGGGTTTATTAGGATTCCAGGGCTAACACCGTTAAGTGCAACCTGAATCATAAAACTCAGTGGGACTCTCCCCATGTGGTCCTAAAACAGTGGGCACAGATCTCCTCGGTGTCTCCTCTGCCAGCCAGCCTATAGTTCGGGAAGGTGGTAACCTGCAGGTCACCTCTCCTTGGAGGCTGCGGGGAGTGAGGATTGGAGGGGGTGCGGGGTGGGGATGGAAGGGTGGGCTGTGGGAGACGCTTAGGGGCATCAGCGTTTAGATGGCTGCCCTTCTGCCCCAGGCTGACCTTTGGAGGGCACATTCCACCCCTCGGTGGCATTCCAGGCATGAACCCACTCTCAGCACAAAGTCTGGAGAAATTTGGTAACGTGTATAAATGAAAGGGTGACGGTCACACAGGGAACTTTTCTGAAAACTCATTAAAAAAAAATCTTGCCTGCTCTTTAGTGAGGCAAATCAGTACTGGCTCACAGGCCACCCAACTGTAAACAATTTACTAAATGAGAAATCAGATGACAGGAGTCTATAAATCTTTTAAAAACCATAACATACACATATGTATAAATGTGTGTGCATATGTGTGATAAACATACATAGCTCCCACGGCACTGTAGTTTTGTACTTTTCCATGCTACTTCTATTTAGGCTATCAGCCGGATCAATTTTCACCTTTGAAAGGGATAGGAAGATTACCGTTATTTCCCCACGTATAAGACGCATGCACCCTTTTCCGAAAAATTTGGGGTCTAAAACTCGGTGCGTCTTATACAGTGGTTGTATGAGCACAAAAACAAGCACGAAAAAAGCAGGAAATGCAAGTAAAGAAAACTACAACCACTGTATAAAATGCACCCAGTTTTTAGACCCCAAATTTTTCGAAAAAGGATGTGTCTTATATATGGGGAAATACAGTATTTCCTGGCTGAATATGGTTAAAAATTAGGACTGGGAAGTTAGGGCTGATGGCCGATATCACTAACTGATCACAGTTCTGTTCTCTTGGGCCCCAAAGGCCAGAACAAGCCAGTGAATTAAAACTACTTGCCCCCTGATTTAAGTAGTGGCTCTAAGCAAGAGAGGCCTGGGACCGCTGGGGCCATTTGGGTTTGCCAACAGCCCTGACGATCCACCCCCTGAGACCCTGCCTTGTGGGCCCAAGTTTAAGGCTCTTTAGAGACTGTTGCTGGCTGGCTCAAGGTGGGTACCGGTTCTGTGAAAGAAAGGCCCCAGAAAACAATCCCTTCACTGTCCCTGTCAGGGAGAAAATGAGCATTCAAAACATGAATTCATTGCTGAAGTATTCCCAAGAAAGTCCTCACCGCTCCAGCTACCACTCCGCTCTGGCTGTAACTGTTGGAGGCTACCACGATGGAGGCGATGAGGAGGAGGAGGGTGCCAATTAAATAGTGCAGAAGTTCCTGCGGAAAAAAACAGAGCAGAGCAGTGGGTAGGGAGGTCCACTCCTGGTCAGAAGAGATAAATGGAAGGGGATGGAGGGGAACACCCTGACAGGAGCCACACAGCTCACAGGCAACAGACACAGAAGGCTGGCCACGATGAGGCCAAGCAAGAGAGGAAAGATGCCAACGCAGGCGGGGAGACGGGGAACAAAAAGGATGCTTTTTGTGTGAAGAGAGAGATCCATTAAGGACGGTTCCACTCCTGAGATCAATTTGTACACAGTGCCTAAACCTCTGCCCAAAGCTACTAAAAAGCAAATGAGCTTCTCCCAACTCCCAGGATGGAGTGTTCAAACAAAGATCCAGTTCTGAGAAGCAAAGCCCCTAGAGAGATGTGTGCCTTTCGCATCTGCTTCAGATAGAGTTCTGGGCGAACAATGTCCTAGCTTTGCTGACAGCCCAGAGTGTCTGCCTGTTCTGTGAACACTTAGGTGTGGACTTGAGATGTGCTCCGCCCCCTCAGACCTCGAGTCAGAGCCCGGAACGAGGTCAGCAGTTCTGTGAAGTGCCTGTGTGTGTGGCAGGAGCGGGTTTTCTCACTCTAAGTCCTACTGGTTTTGTCCTCATTTTGTCTTTCCCCTTCTCTTCTCTCTGAAAGTATGCCTCAGGCCAAACTCTGATGAGTCTACTGGCAGAAATGACTCACACTTTATACTTCTCCCCTTGGTCCACAAGGCCATCCATTTACACCCCATTTACTTCATGATTAAAATGGCATCTTTGCAGGCCCTGGAGGAGGCTGGACCGCTGTCGTTCAGCAACATAGTAATACTTCCACCTCATCATTCTTCGTCCCCAATAAACACCAGATCAGAGGAGAGCTGGGGCTTAGGGCCATCCATAGTACTCACTCTGAATCCAGACTATTCATTTTCAGTCGTCTTCATGAGAGTTTAGAAATCTTTCCTTCATGTAGTTCTGTCCATCAGGGCAGTAGCTATTAAATTTTGGAAAAGCATTCAACTTTTAAGCTGCCGCTCCTCTCAAAGTTGTGCAAAATCCAAGAACCTGATTTTTCCCTTAGTGACCTGAAAGGAATATTATGAAGTAGCCCACAGAGAATTTGATTCAAGAGCAGATTAGTAACAGAAGTTCCCTACCTCCAAGATTCTCACACACGAAGAAAAAGGCGTATGACACAGGACAGGGAAAATGAGTTGAGAGTACTAAATGGAAGGTGCTTGAATAGTAAAAAAATGTGTGGCTGAGCTTATCCTTCCAACATTCACTCCCCTTCCAGCCTACCCTCATTCAGGTCCCCCAGCTTTTATTCTCCCCTTTGCTTCTTCATTATCAGCATCAGGGAAGGCCAGAAGAGCTTGTTCTCAAAAGAAGCAAAAAGGTGCCATAACTTTGAAAGGGGCCTTATAACTCAGGAACAGTAAAGAAATTTCTTTTAAAATCACAGTAGGTAATAATGTTAAGTGTGAATGATTAAATAATTCAATCAAGAAACAGAGGCTGTCAGACTGGATTTTAAAAAGACCCAACTATATTCTGTCTATAGGAAACACTCTTTATATTCAAAGATACAAGTAGATTAAAAGTAGAAGGATGGAAAAGATATGTTATTCAAACAGCAACCAAATGAAGGCTGAAGTGTCTATAATAGTATCAGACAAAGAGATTAAAACACAAAACAAAACATGTTACCAGAAATAAAGAGGGACATTTTGTAATGATGAAAATGTCAATTCAGGAAAAGATAACAATTATAAACATATATGCATCTAATAACAGAGCAACAAAATACATAAAGCAAAAACTCAAAGAAAGGAGAAATAGATAATTCAAAAATAATAGTTGGAGGCTTCAATACCCCACTTTCAATAATGTACAGAATAAGGAAGAAAGATCAACAAGGAAATAGAAGACTCGAACAATTGTGTAACACAACTAGACATAACACACATCTATAAAACACTCTAACCAACAATAAAATATACATTCTTTTCAAATGCACATAAAACATGGCTTTATTTTGGAATTCTCCAGGATAGACCGCATGCCAAACCATATAACAAACCTCAGTAAATGTAAAAGGATTGAAACAATATGAAGTATGTTCTCCAACTACAACAGAATGAAATTAAAAATGAATAGCAGAAAGAAATCTGGGAAACTCACAGATATGGAGAAATTAAACAACACATTCCTAACTAACTAATGGGTCAAAGAAGAAATCACAAGGGTAATTGGAAAATACTTGGAGATGGGTGAACATGAACACACAATATACCAAAAGTATGCAGTGCAACGAAAGCAGTGCTCAGAGAGAAATTTATAGCTGTAAATGCCTATATTAAAACAAAAAAGAAGAAAAGTTTCAAATTAATAATCTAACCTTTACCTTAAGACACTAGAAAAGAAGACAAACTAAACCTAAAGCAAAAAGAAGGAAAGGAATAAATATCTGAGCAGAAATTGATGATATAGGGAACAGAAAAACAATAGAGAAAATCAATGAAACCAACAGCTGGTTCTTTGAAAAGATCAACAAAAGACAAACCTTTAGTTAGACTGATCAAGGAAAAAAAAGAGAAAAGATTCAAATGTCCAAAGTCATAAATGAAAAGAGAGCACATCATTACTGATTTTACAGATATAAAAAGTATTTTAAAGGGATACTATGAACAATTGTATGCCAATAAATTAGATAACTTAGATGAAAAAAACATATTCTTAGAAAGACATACTACTGAAAATGACTCAAGCAGAAATAAACAATCTGAATAAATCTATAACAAGTAGAATTTGAATTAATAATAATAAGAAGAAATATCCACAATAAAAGCCCAGGTCTGGATAGCTTTACTGTGGGATTCTAACAAACATTTAAAGAATTAATACCAACTCTTCACAAACCCTTCTAAAAAACAGAAGAGGAGGAGATACTTCCCAAATTGTTTTGTGAGGCTAGTATTACCCTAATAACAAAACCATACAAAGACATTGCAAGAAACCAATAATGTCTCTTATGAATGCAAATGCAAAAATCCTTAATAAAATACAAGCAAACCAAATCCAGCTACATATAAACTGAATTTTACACTATGGCCAAACAGAATTTATCCCAGGAATGCAAGGTTGGCTCCACATACGAAAATCAATGTAATACACCATATTAATAGACTATTGGGGAAAGGGGAGGAGGAACCCCACATGATTATCTCAATAGACAAAGAAAAAGCATGTGACAAAATCTAACACCCTTTCATGATAAAACACTCAACAAAGTAGGACTAGAAGGTAATTTTTTTGATATGATAAATGGCATCTACAAAAAACCCACAGCTAACATCATATTTTATGATGAAAGATGGACTGCTTTCCTCCTAACAAGATCAGAAAGAAGGCAATGATGTCTACTCTTCCCACTTTGATTCAACAGACAACTAATTTCTTGCAATAAGGCAAGGTAATAAAAGAAATAATGATATAGGGGTGATATTGGAAAGAAATGTAAAACTATATTCACAAATGACATGATCTTGTATACAGAAAAGTCTAAGGAATCTACTAACAATCTATTAGATCTAAAAAATGAGTTCAGCAAGGTTGAGAATACAAGATCAATACATGAAAGTTAACTGTATTTCTATCCACTTGCAATAAACACTTAAAAATTAAGAAAATAATTACATTTGAAATAGCATAAAAAAGAATAAGATACTTAGGAAAAAATTTAACCAAAAAAGGGCAAAACCTATATTCTTAAAACTACAAAATATTGTTGAAAGAAATTAAAGAAGATCTAAATAAATGGAAAAACCTCCCATGTTCATGGATCACAAGACTTAATATTGTTAAGACGGCAATACTCTCCAAATTGACTCACTATAATTCCTGTTAGAATCCCAGCGGACTTCTTTGTAGAAACTGAAAAGCTGATTCTAAAATTCATATGAAATTGCAAAAATCCAAAACAATCCTGAAAAATAGGAATAAATGGGAAGACTCACACTTTCTAATTTCAGAACTTACTACAAATTTATAGTCATAAAGATAGTGTAGTAAGATCAATGCAATAGAATTGAGTCCAAAAATAAATCCATGTGTTTATGGCCAGGACAATTTTTCAACAAAGTGGCCAAGACAATTCAATGGGGAAAGGATAGTCTTCCAACAGATGGTGTGGGACAACTGGACATTCACACACCAAAGAATGAAGTTGAATCCTTACTTCATACTCTATGCAAAAATTAACTCAAAATAGATCTAAAACTATGAAACTCAGAAGAAAACATAGAGGTAAATCTTCACAGCCTTGGATTTGGCAACGACTTTTTAGATATACCAAAAACACAAACAACAAAAGAAAAATAGATCAATCAGATTTCATCAAAATTTAAAAATTGTGCTTTAATGGACACTATCAAGAAAGTGAAAAACAACCAGCAGAATGGGAGAAAATATCTGCAAATCATGTGCATGATAAGGAGTTTTTAACTAGACTTTACAAAGAACTCTGACAACTCAATAATAAAAAGACAACCTAATCAAAGAATGGGCAAAGGATCTGAATAGACATTTCTCCAAGGAAAGTACACAAATGGCCAAAAAGCACATGAAAACATGACTGATGTCATTAATCATCAGAGAAATGCAAGTCAAACCCACAAGATACCCCTTCACATTCACTAGAATGACTAAAATCAGAAAGTCAGAAAACAAGTGTTGACAAGAATGTGGAAAAATTGGAACCCACATACACTGTTGATGGGAATGTAAAATGGTGTACCACTTTGGTAAATAGTCTGGCAGTGGAAACAATTAAACATAGTTACCACGTGACCGAGCAATTCCACTCTTAGGTATATTCCCAAGCGAAATGAAAACACATCCACACCAAAAACTTGCACATGAATGTTCATAGCAGCAATTATTCATAATAGCCAAAAGGTGGAAACAGCCCACATGTCCATCAATGATGAATGGATAAACAAAATGTGGTATATCCTTTCAATGAAATATTATTTGGCTGTAAAAAGAAATGAAGTACTGACACATGCTGAAGTACTACATAAATAAACCATGAAAACACTCTAAGTGAAAGAAGCCAGTCATAGAAGACCACATATATGACTCTATTTACACAAAAGGTCTAGAATAGAAAAATTTATAGAGACAGAAAGATTAGCAGTTGCTCAGGGCTGGAGAGGATGAAGGACAGGAGGTGATTGCTAAAGGGCATGAGGTTTCTTTTTGAGGTGATGAAAATATTCTAAAATTGACTGTGGTGATGGTTGTGCAACTCTGGGAATATACTAAAATCTCTTGAATTGTATACTTTAAATGGGTAATTGCATGGCATGTGAATTATCAATAAAGCTGTTCTTTTTTTTTTTAAATAACATAGTGAAAAAAAAAAAACCGCTGGCAACTTCGAAATCTTTCCTCAGACTCTGCCAGTTCATTTTAGCTGTCAGATCTTATCATTTAATATTCACAAAGGTATAAATACCCATCACCTTTTTCAGCTTTTTCCTTCCTTCCACATTCTTCCTCCCAACTTACACACACACACACACACACACACACACACACACACACACACACACACACACACACACACACNACACACACACACACACACACACACACACACACACACACACACACACACACAGCCCATGATCTGTCACTTGAGAAAATCAACACTGAAGTGAGAGGCATAGCCTTCTTGTAGCTGGAAGGTGGGTTTTAGAAAGCAGGGGACATCAGGAGGGGATGTCCGCCTAACAGTGGGAAATTCAGGGCTGAAGCAGCTGAGGATGGTGCAAGAGGTAGGGTGGGCATACAGGAAGGAGAGCATGGGGTCTCGGTGCCCCAGCTCACATCCTGACTTCTGTGCTGAGGACAGGGCCAGGCCACTCCCTTACCGACAGGGGCCAGCTGATGCAGGTGAGCCTGCGGTAGAGGCGGAACAGGTGGACCAGGTAAAAGGCGAGGATCATTATCAAGTTGCAAATGGTGACCACTTCGAAGTATCTGTAGGCACTGTAGCCGGTCAACGGAGAGCTTCTCACACAGATGAAGGCAATCAGCAGAGTGACCTGGGACATAAATACAGACACATCAGAGAAACACCCACCAAGACAGGCGCCCAGGGAGTCAACGGCAACCAAATCACAGACGCACGAGCAACAGAACGTGGAGAACTGCTACAACTCGGGTTATCTCCTCACAAATTGGCTGAAAGAGTACAATTGCCTATGTTATAAGATTTTAAAATCCAAGCTGGTTGTGAATGCTGAGGACTGCAGGGAGTGGTTTTGTCCTCTGGAGGCTGTTAGGTTGTGCTGGCAGGATGCCTACTCAGAGTCAGGGCAGAGATGTAGGAAAATAACCAGGCAGAACCTTCCCCTTTATAATATTTGCTGGACCTCCACAGAGCACAGATAGTCAGTGTGATGCTGCACCTTGGATTTACATGCTAGGTGGCACTGTAAGGAAGTTGCCAGTATTTGACTGTGTTTGACCCACAAAGACGGCGAGTCATATGCTACACGCTACCAGTTGGCAGACGATAAGCGATTGTTTACTGATGCCTGATGTACATGATCTCATTGAGGCCTCATGGAACTGCCAAATGGATGGAATCACTTCCATGTTCACATGGGGAAACTGAGGCAGGCAGGTTCAATAAATAGCCCAAGGCTACCCAGCTTGTGAGCAGAAGAGGTGGGATTTGAACCCAAGTCTGTCTGACTCCAGGGACCATGTTCCTCCAGGTCAGATGCAGTGTTGCCTTCCAAAAATGGACACCCTCATAAACAAGCTGAGGAAGTTGGATGTGTTCCTCATATGTGTGGGAATCCTGGTGACGAGGTGGTGCTTGCTCACTGCTGGGCACTCGGTAAATCACAGACTTATTGCATGAATGAGTGAATGAATGTGCAGAATTAATAAATTAATGATCTATTAATGAATTAACAGGTCAGGTAAATTATTAGCAACATATGAATACTATGGGAGAGCAGATAGGAAGACGGCAGAGAAGATTCTGAGTTTTTGTGAAGGCCACTCAAAGAGAATAAACTCTTGTTCACTCCACATAGGGAATAAACCAATAATCCATAGGTGTTAAGTGTGTGTAAATCTTAGGATTTGAAAAGCGAAACTAACTTAGGATGAAAATTATTTTATATTGCCTCTTTCGTATAGTCCAGTGATTCTCAAAGGGTGTGTGTGTGTGTGTGTGTGTGTGTGTGTGTGTGTGTGTGTGTGTGTGTGATTTTTGTGTCCTTTGACATTGTCTAGATACATTTTAGGTTGTCACAGCTGTGGTGGGGGATTGTGACCGGCATCTAGTGGGTAGAGGCCATGGGTGCTGTTAAACACCCCATGATGCGCAAGACAGCCCCCGCGACAAAGAACTCTCTGGTCTCATACGTGGCCCAAACTTGTGTTTGCTGTGCTGCTGTGGAGAAAGAAACCCTGCTGTAGAAAATGTGAGTCTGTTTGGAGAATTAAATCACAAAAAAGATCTAACGCTGGTTAAAGTGGTCACTGCTATGCATGCTCTATTTCCTAGAGCCCCTCATTTCTAGCACATTCATTAGGTCAGTAGTAGGTACAGCAGCTAGAAAATAACTCTCGGCTTGAAGCCTAACGTGGGCATGAAGAGAGCTCTGCTTAGCAGATCAAAACAGAAGAGTGTGGCTCTGACACAGAGGGACCCTCAACATTTGCGTATTTCCTTTTGCTAATGAGCCACGTTGAATATTTTCATTTTCTCAGTTCCTCTCAAGCCAGTCAGCCATGGTCATATAATGATTCACGCCTTGAGGTTGTTTTAAAAGTGGAGGGGAAGCTTTGCCTCACTCGGGAGTGTGGGCGGGAGTGTGGGCGGTGGCCAGGGCTTTGCTGCCTCATCAGTCCTCATTTCCAGGCCTCATCCATCAGGGATGTCTATGGGTCTCCCCAGTCTTGCACTGACTCCCCTCATGTACTGGGGCATTTTTATTCAAGGCCTGCCTTGAAATGCAGGTAATTCAGCATTAATGCAGTGTGATGGATTCCCAGGTGGAGATGCAATTTTGCACCTAATTTAATGCAAAGGTTAGAATAATTTTTACAACCCTTCATCTGTGACAGTCAGCCCTTTCTCATGATGACACAGCGATGTGGGAATTTCCCAGTGAACACAAGGGGCCTGGGCAGGTCTCCCCCTCAGGGCTCCCAGGTCTGAGTACCCTGCAGCAGGAAGTACATTACTGCTCTACCACAAGCCATCTCAAACCTTTCTGGGAAACTTGCTGGTCAAATAAGACTTTCTAAATTCTGTCCACTTGGCCTGAGGCCGCAACTATGTGTTCTTCTTTAGGACAGCCCAATTTTGGAAAATCTCACCGAGACAGCAGAGGCGCTGTACTTACGGATGCTGCTGAAAACTTTCTTTTCTGCCCAAGGATTCTTCCATTCCTACGTTAGATAGCCAGCATCTTAGCTAGCGCACTTCAAAAAACAAAACAAAAAACAAACAAAAAACCGATTTTATGGACACCAAACTTTTTAGGAACTCTTCTAAGGCCAACAGGTAACCTCTGCAAATGCAGGAGACTCCTGAACCATTCAATCCATGCTTGGGGGGGGGTACCCAGAAAGGTGAAGAAGAACAAACAATGGTGGAGAAAAGGGCCCTGGGTGTTGGTCCCCCACCCCCACCTGGCCATCTAGGACCTCTTCTTGTTCCCTGCTAGAAAAGCAGATCAATAAACACGCCTGAATTTGAGATGACTGAGTAGGACCTCAGGACTGAGTAAAGAAGGCTGGGAGGCTTTGGGAAGATAGATGCGGTTCTGTTTAGAGTAACTGAAATGTGATACCGACCAAAGGGCTAACGTGATTCTTAGGGTGCCTGCTAGCTCCTCTCATAAAGGTTTGTTCTGTTATATTGAACTGTCATGAACATTAAACATAGAATATCTAATATAAATGTCCATTAAAAGTAATGTTGCAAGAACCCTCAGCTCAGAGCAAGGGTCTCACAGACCGGCCATGGCACTGGAATCACCCTAGATTGGAAACCACCCCCCTCTCCTCCAAACTGTATCCCTTCTGACTCCATACGATTAGCATTCTTACTGAAAAGAAGAGATGATTTTTGTGAAAGCAGCAGTGGGTTTCAGTTTCACAGGAGATGAAGCAAGCTGACATTACCTGAGAGAAACTATTGTCCCCTGAGAACTTTGGAACTAAAACAAGCTGGTCCTTACGCCATAGCCAGGTGCTAACTAGCTTGTCCAGGTTCTCAGCCCTTGTTGGGGCCTAAGACAGGCCGCCCCCAAATATCCAACAATGGCAAATTGATTACATTGAATTAAGGTTACTTGATTTACAGCCGCTGCCAAAAGGGCATCTTGACCCTCTCTAATCTCCTTGAATGCAGGAAATAAATCTCCCCTTTGACAGGTGCCCTCTTCACACCTGGAAAGCTGAGATAGACAACTTTATGACTACAGCTGAGAGATCATGAGCCAAAGAACTTATATAAACACTTTGTTAATTTACTACCCAAGCCCAAACTTTGTTTAGATTCCTCACTAATGAATACCCACATCTTGCTTAGATTCCTGTCTAATAAGCACTAGCTTTTTTTGTCCTGTCAATTATCCACAAAATTTTTATTATTATTTTTTGTCTAAAAAGTATAAAAAGGCGTCTGGTGTGATCATTTCTCTGAGCCTCATTTTATGATCTGAGCATCGTACTGTGATTCTCCCGTGTGCACATATTAAATTGGTTTTTCTCCTGTTCATCAAATCTTGTGTCAATTTTGTTATTTGATTACTCACCTGGCTGTAAGAAGTAAAGGAGGGCAGAGTGGGAGGAATTCTCTTCCTCCTCGACACTTCTGAGGAAGAGGTGGAATTTTGAAGTCTAAGAAGGACCATTTCTGGACAAGACTCAGAGGCTGTGTCCAGGAGACGCCTTCTTCTGAGCTGGGTAGAGAGGCTTCTGGGGGGTCTCAGGGGCACTGTCGCCTGCTGCCTGCCTGGCTGAAGATGGCACCAGACACTTTTTGTTTTAAGAACACTGGGCTGGATGCTGGCAGGTCACCCAACCTCACCCTCTCGCAAGAGTTTTTATTCTGACGTTGGAATAATGTTTCAGTGAGAGAGACAGGCAGGAGGGGAAGTTACTGATAAAAGGCAACATCAAAAAAATCTCAGATCCAACTCTAAGAAGCTTTTCTGGAAAAGCCCAGTAGATGAAAGCCAGGCTTGTTAAAAAAGTCAGAGTTGTGGATGATGATTTAGTGACTGGAAACTGCATTTGTAGATATAACCAGGCCCATAAATGAATGTGCTTGGCAGTGGGCAGGCAGGAAGGGGAATTTGAAATGCTCCCAACTTTGGCTGAATTCTGCCCCGGGGTATAGGCAAATTCACCCTGCCTCTCTGTTTAAGCCCTGACTAGTCATCACCAGCAAACAGCCCTTGTGCAATCTCATTAACACCCACTGGGCGAGAGAACCTTGACCCCGACTTACCTCTTCTGGGCCCCCTGTCTCACCATCATCAGATTTTTGCTACAGGCTTCTTCCCACTCTTCCACCCCCCCGGCACACAGTTTTGTTTTCTATTCTAATAGAAAAATGCCATAAAAAAACAAGCGACGGGGGACAATCTAGGAAACACTATGTCAGGGGACCACAGGTCCAGGCTTCGAGCAGGGGCCAACACATTGGTTCCTGAATCTAACCATGCAGCCAAGTCACCTGCAGTGTACTAAACACCAGAGCTTATGCTTGCCCACACTGAGAATATTGCTGGAATGCCACATATGAAGCCGTTGGGGAGGCGAACAGATTATTTAGAGGTTTAAAAAATTCACTTATTTTGTTCTCTTGTATTATAAAGATAACA